GGGTCTCAAAACGAATATGATGTCTGCGTGTAGGCAAGCAATGTCCCATAATGAATTTGGGATGGCAGCGGAGCGCCGAGGAGCGCTCAGCATTACCCTGCGAGTACGCTCGACGTTAGTTACGGGATACATACGTTCATGGAGATAACGCCATTGTTTTTGTATACTACATGGATATGTATGGGTTTCGGGGTAATAATTACTCTGGCGTAAACTTCAATGAACGAATGGTCATGATTGTTTACGACGTCTGAACGACTGTTACAGCTAGGTGTTTTGTTATTGAAGGGGAGAAAGGAGGACTCTGTCAAGATCGGGGTCGGGTGCTCTATTTATTATTTTCAATAGACACTGAACTTGAAGCTGATGGAGCCAGCGATCTTGCAAGTGAGTTGTCCCGCTGCTCTGCTCGGATAGCGGCTTTGCGGATGGGCAGATCTCACAGCCAGTGACGGACGACATATGGTGGAACCTATTTAGTTTTTTATACCCCGCATAGCTCAAACAATCGCTTTATTAGGAACGGTCCAGATTGTTTCTTATCGTAACCCAATAATAGTTTATATCTTCAGGAATCATCAATTGATCCAAACAAATTTAATTCTTTTTAAGAAAATGAAATCGAGGAAAGAACCGTTGAATAGACAAACCCGTACATTACACACATGGTACAGTTGAAAACAACACAGTAACAGGGAAAATGGAAACCAAAACTATCATGGCCTTAATAAGCCTTAAATGAGGCACTCTCGGATATTGCCTACTCCTCGTTGTCCTCTTCCTCCTCCTCATCCTCATCCATTCCCTCCGCAGCCGTAATCTTGAACGAGGGGTCTTGGTCAACACCGACATAGCTATCACTCATCAGAAATAGCGTTAGCTCGTGCTCACCAGGAGTCGGAACAATGTATTCTAGTTTGAGTTGTAATTTTTTTCTAATCGTAATGCGTTTAGTGGCAAGGAGGCTGTTTGTCTTTTCTTCCCCAACAACAAGCCACCAGTTCTCCATCTTCTGGCCCGGGTAGAACGGAGCAGATACAGTAGTATCCACTTCCTCGTCGTCCTCAACGTCCCGCTCAATCTTGATATCGATATAAGCCGGTTCACCGGCCGTAATGTTTTCTTCGTCCAGAACAGTGAAATCGAGATCCATGTTGGGGTACTTGTTATTAGTAAATTCCGCTGCCTGTGCTAACTGCTTATTGTCAAGGCCCAGACGCTTTACGAGGGATGCGTAGTCCTTGTTCTCCGACGGGTCCATAGCTTCCATGAACTCGAAGATGTCCTTGATTCTACAGGTGAAAAGCATGGTTAGAAAACTGCGACTAGACTTATGACCACTGAAGGGAGGAACATACTGGAACTCATTGGCCACTTTGATCGTGTCAGGGCCGAAATGAGGAATTTGCTTCAACGGACTATCCCGGTCCCACATAGCCTGAACAACCATTTTGTGACATTTCCATTGCATTCAGGGCGTTCAAGTGGCCCTCGGAAAGACAAAACATCTACACAAGCACTCAGGAGGTTTAAAACTTTTCCCACGATCATTTCTTGATCTTTGCCCAGATCAATCGGAAGCTGCATACGCGAGAAATGTGCCTGTAAAAGGACGAATGCCTTGAAGTGTGGCGAGTCATAGACTGGTTGCGACATCTTGACTGGTACCCTGTCGTATACGCGACGGAGAATATGTTCTTCATGGCGTCGAACCTGGATGGTTTCAAACTCCGTTGCGGAAGTGACGATTTCAAGAATTCCCTTCAGCTTGGTTCTGGCTGATAGAGAAAGCAAGAACGTCTGCATGGTGATGAACGAAATGTTATAGTATGCAGCAATCATGGCCGCATTCAGTGGCGAAAGAGTGTCGTCTTCCTCATCTAGGTCGATGATCTTGGCTTCAGAGAGCTCCTTAAGGGTGCTTTCAACCAATTCTGAGAGGAACGTACTCAGACCTTCATGGCTCACATCAGTTAGGCCGTAGTAACTAGGATTTGCAAGGAGACGGCGATAGAAGTACGTGTATGTCATCCAATCAACAGCATCTTGAGTAGATGCAATGGTTCGAGTGCTGATCTCGGCTACAAACGCATCGTGAAGATATATTTGCAGGTGGCTTTCTATTGGTAATGCTTCATTGAGGAATTTCTTGTAGTAGTCCCGCTTGACGGCCGGAACCATAAGCACACCTTTTCCACTGCTGTCTTCAAGAGGGCGAGAAGCTTTTCCGAACATTTGAAGTATTTCACTGATAGGATAGTCGATATATCGATGCTCTCGGCCATCAAAGAATTGGGTGTTCATGACAATAACAAGATGTGCGTTGAAATTGATCTCCCAACAAACATCTCGAGACGCTAGCATTACTTGTATCGCACCAAGTTTGAAGAGATGCGTGACAATCCGTTTGTCACTGTTGCTGAGGGCTTCATGGTAATAGCCAATTCCGTGGGAAATAGATTCTGCCAGCGCTTGTTCGTCGATCCGTTTTAGCAAGGGCGAAATCTCTCCAATATCGGCATGTAGGAACCTGTCCTCATCATCTGCAGCAATACAAGCGGCCAACAAATCAAGAGCAGTTGAGCGAGTTTGTTTTCGCGTGGGTACAAACACTAGCGTTGGTTTATCAGGAGATAGTTGTAGTATCGACGTAAAGGCAGGTTTTGCCATCGCAAGCATAAGAGACGGAAAATGAGGGATTGAGTAGGACTGAATGTGCAGTTCTAGTGGAACAGGACGCACGTGGGGGCTAAAGTTGTAAATGGTATGCTTCTTAGCTCCCAACCATTCCCCAATGTCGCGAGCATTGGACAGAGGGACACTCAGTCCAATCATCCGGAGTTCCTTTTCAGTTTGAAGGGCAATATAATGCATCCGTGAAACAACAACTTCGTAGATGTAGCCACCCTGACCGCCAAGCATGTGAAGTTCATCAGCAATAAAGAGTTCAACGGCTTGTACGTTCCTACGACGCTGCCACTGCCGTGATAGGACATCCCACTGAATGGGAGTACCGAGTACTAGATCGGCTTGCTCAAGAATTTTCAAATCGGCAGTGGTTTCCCCTGTAAGTTTCAAAATGGCCTTGCCACCATTGAGATTGCTTAACCGGGTTTGCCAATCGGTCACACGGTGGTCAACCAATTCTTGGAAAGGAGCAATATAAACTGCTTTGCCAGGTGTGGATTTCGACCAGTGGTGAAGAAGAGCAAACTCTGCACAGACTGTTTTTCCACTCCCGGTCGGGGCTCCTAGGAAGACATTATCATCTGTATCGAACAGCGACTTGAAGGTCTGTGTTTGGACCTTGTTAAAATGGTCCCAGTGAGGATAGAGATTTTGATACTCTGGTCGTTTGAGGGCTTTGACTGGTACCCGCTGCATATCTAACAGTGGCGTATGAGCAGGGAAACGCTCTGGTAATATAAGTTTCTGAAACGAAACAGGTATTTTTGTCTCCGAATGCATCCATCGATCCGAGACGAGCGAGATGAAATAATTTGGCGGCATCGGTTCCGTTATCGGCACAGTGAACTCAACTAAATGCTCATTCATTTCTGAAACCGCAAACTCTTTGCGAAGGATAAACTGGTCATGGAAAAGGATATCTGAA